TAAAAAAGAGTATGTTAATAAATTGTGTAACAATAGTAGGATAATACAGTATATGAAAATTCGCTCTGATAATTCGTCTGTGCAAATTGTCAGTTTTTCAAAAAAATTAATTAAAACAATTTCAAATCAACTGACATTCTGTCTTTTTTTTTAATTCTCGCCTCAAAAATTCTGTCTTTTTTATTGCGACATAGGAGCACTATTTATCAATCTGTAATAAAAGACGTGAGGAAATTCTGTCTTTTTTAAAGACAAACATTTTCGAGGCGAAATACCCAAAAAGAAGTTTGTAAAAAAATGAATCCGCCTCAACAATATAGAACTTATCAGCAATTCTAATGCTGTGAAGTTACAGTAATTTCCTAAATGTTAACTATGGAAAGCGAATTTAGCTGGAACGATATTTAAATTAATTAAGAGTCTCATGCTAATATTTCTGGGAGTTTCACGAACGTTCACCATTACATTGGCTTTATTGAGAAATTAGTCATGAACATTTCTTAGCCATTTATTAAAATAAAACTATCATTCAATATATTCCAAAGAAAATTGGTTGAAAACCCGAAATTTGCAAACAAATCAGTCAATGAAATGTAATCGGGAAGAAAAAACTGGAATGATGCATCATAATTTATCATTTATTGTAGCATAAGGTTGAAAAGATCGACGGATAGAGACGTCAGCCCTAACGATCTACTAAATACGGAACTCTCAACTGCAGTGGCCGAACACATTGTTGGGGACATTTTGCGCCAATGCGACGCCCATACCGAGAAACAATCACTGGACTTTGAAATTCGAAAAGCAAATGCCAAGTTGGAACACGCCAGATCCCAAAACACTGTTCTAGCTCTGACGTTGAATGAAACCAAAGCCCATTGCGATAGGTATTTTTTCCACATTTACAGACGCTGTTTCCTCACGCGCAAACTGTTTCTTCAGGTTGGCTCTTCTATGTGGCAAATACGAATCCAATGCCATAGCATTGCGATTGGCTTTGGGAATCACTGATCGGACCATTGAAGCTTATGATGTTCTTTTGGCCTTGCTGGAGACGGAATTGTCTCTAAGCGAAGACAATTCCACGACTATTGAAAACCGAACTGCAGCTGAAACGGTGGCCAAACAGCTTCTGAGCCATTTAGATCATCACTTAAATTCCGATGTTTTACTCTCGCCGTGGCAGAATCACGTTTACAGCACTCCCATTGAAATGTGAGTTATTTTACTGGTTTGATTTAAACAACCAGTTTACTGATTAATTTTCAGAAATGAAACATGGACGGGCGAGCACGAGTTGCGGCTGCGGGAACATGTTTCGCGGTTGAAAGCCGAAAGAAGCAATATTCAGGGCACTTATGTCACTTTGGAGTCCACCCAAGTGGAAAATGTACCGATTAGACCCTCCAGCAGCCAGGAGACTAGGAAAATGGACCTTGAAATGGCGGTTTTAATGCAGGTAAATGCCTCTACTTCTGCAGCGTTTACGCTAGTGAAGCACAACGCCAATGCCTCTAATTTATTCGCTTATTGAAAATATTTGTTTGCAGGAATTAATGGGTTTAAGAGAGGACAAGGCTGAATTACTGTCGAAATTGTTTGCATTGGAAAAAGACAAAAACGCCCTGGAAATTAAGCTGAAGTATGTGGAAGGTCAGCAGAAAGCACAATCAGCCACGCTAAAGAATCTGCAAGGCCAACTGAAAGATACTGAGGGACTACTAGCTTTAGCCACTCAAAGCAAAGTAAGATGATTATTACGATTAGAATTAAAACAGAAATCAATATCGTTAAACGTTCACCGTTTTATCAATATACATGGTGTTCGAATAATGCGTTCGAAGATTTTTAAGGTTGATTCTACATACTAAAATAATGGTGGTAAGTCATGTTACAAAAAGCTGAATATTTTTGAAATTTGGCGTCGGGGGCGTCAACTTCAAGCAGTGGCGGAACCTCGACTTTCGTCTCTTGTACCGTAATATACTATTTTTAAATTACTTGGCCAACAAACATAAATACTGCAAATTTAGACTTTGCCACTTTTAGCTTTAAACCTACGATATTTAAATCGATTAATAGGATTGTTTGCTGCAGGAGCGAGGTTATTGTGATGCAGAACATGCACAGGGCGTAGAATTGGAATTAATGCAAGCACTAGCAAGAGAGGCAAGACTGAAAGTTAGGCTACAGGAATTAGTTGCGACTTTGGAACAAGTGACCAAGAATGCCGAAGCCCGACTGTTGGAAGGGCGAGAAATTGTACAGGACTTAAATCAGACCAATAGGTAATATTATTTGGCAATATGTAAAAACTTCAATAAAAAAGCTACACAACATTAAATAAATGTAATCCCTAACATTTCCTGAACTTTTCAGCATTCTTGCAGACACAGTGGATCGTAATACTAAGAAATATCAGGCTAAGTTTAAGAAAATGGAGCACCAGATGTTAAACATGGTAGAGAAGCACACTGCGCAAGTAAGAGAGCATTTTATTAAGTGCAAAGATTCGGCAGTTATTGTCATTTTTCCAATTCATTGATTGAAAATGCTTGAAGCTCAAATATCATTCGCAATTAATTTTTTCAGGTACAGACGCTACAGCAAAGAATCGCAACTCTAGAAACACCGCCTACAAATAGTTCGGAGAATTCCTTAAATTCAATTCCCATGTAAATCGGCTAGTGGAGTATATATTTTATCAATTTGATATAGTATTAATATTAATGTTGCTAATTGTTAAGATATAATAAAATGTGCAATAAGTCCTATTTATTCGCAAATTGTAAATTCGTTAACATGCAGAACGCTCATATTATTATTATTTGTTGAATTGGATGCAATTCCAAAGATGAGAACAAAAAAGCTAAATAATTTTGATTGACTGATGAGGCTACAGATGGAAAATATAAAACATGTTAATATATTTGTCTACCTCACCCAATATCGGTGTATAATTGTTTTTAAATACACAGAAATGTTCCTACAGTTTAATTTGAAAAATCCACAACAAGTTTTGTGCGTCAACTTGCAAATTACATGAAATCAGATGAGTCTACCTCGGTAATATCTTTCGATATGAAACCAGACCTTGTTTAATGAAACTAGCGTTAGTAATTATAAGGACATGCCTCGCTGTGATTAATTATGCCTACTTACAGAAAAAAATGGAGTTGTGGGAGTTTTTAACCAATTTTTTCACTTGGTTGGGCAGCTGTACATAAGGCAGGCTTTTTCCTCAGTAGCTAAATTGTGTGCTTAGAAGTAAACGATTAAACCAGTAGCTAAACCCTTATTACCCTAATTTTACATGGTTCTTTCCTTCTATATTGTTTAGCAATGTATAGGGGTTTTAGATAAATACTCTGTAATAGTTTGAAGCCTGCACTAAACAATTATGGTAGTAAATTATAAATGGAAAGTGATTATTAGACGTGTGATAAGATTATTAATGCATTTAATATGTTTGTAATCAATTAATAGGCTAAAGCGATATACGAGGTTTTAGTCAAGATTTCAACCGAGATTCTTCAGTATATTGAATCAGATAACATAAAAAAATTGCTTGAAAATCTGAAATTAAAGTTTTCCATTATGATTTGTGAAAATTTGGGCAGAAAATAAATTATCATCACATTGAATTAGAAACCCTCGAATCTCTTATAAGCAAATTTGGTACAAAAGTATTAAGGCTTGTTATGAATCAACATTAAATTTTAGAACTACAATGATATAAGCAAGTTTAGCATTAAGTATCTCAATTATTATGTAATAAATATTTATTTTATATCGTGATGTTTAATAAACTGGAGTTAATGATTATGTGGAGTTTGGCTCATTCCTCCTTTTTATTGATTCAATTCATTGCGAAAGAGCGGGATCGATAGTGCGCCGAGGTTGGAGGAGGACATGCAAAATATGGCGGAGAATGCTGACAATTTAAGTAAGTGAATATATAATAATTTTCCTCTAGAGTTTTGAAATAAACAATTATTTGAACGTATTTTAGTATTTGATATTTATTTTGAAGTATTTTATTAGCTAAAAGATTAACGTAGAAACTGCCAAATTATTTTTTATGCTACCAAATGGAGTAACGATATAAATAGGCGATGTAATTTGGTTGTTACTTCAGAATATCTCAAAACTTAATCAGTAAAGCAAATTTTTCTTGTCGTGAGTTAACATTTCATTTAAACAAAAATTAGAAAATTGCTTATTTTTTAAAAGAACACTTACCGGAGTAACTGGACGTTCAAATTGACTCAGACTGCAAGGTTAGTAGTGCGAAAACTTACCTGAAAAAAAAATACGTTTGAAAAGTTGTACTAATTTTTTTTAAATTTCGATAATTAGAATCCGAAAAATAGTTTCAACCAGTAAAATTTTCTTGAATGCTTCGATTATTTCACGAATTTTAACAATTGCTAACAGTTACTATTAAGAACTGACTAAGGAAAGAAAAAAAATTACTTTGAGGGCAGTTTATTCGATCAACAATCTTCAATTTAATCAATTCGAAAAAATTAAGGATGTTGGAAAACATGTTGGTAGTTTATTTTGACGTGTATATATTTTTCTGTGTTTGCGTATTTAATAAGTTTTTTTATGGAGATCTTTTGATGTGACTCAGCAATAAGTTCTCGCGTTTTTTCGCATCGAATTTAACGAACTGGAGGAATTTTGTGAATTTTATATTGAATTTTTAACGTGAAACTGATGTGCTTGTTTCAAACTCACCAGATTCAAGCAATGCCCTCGAAAGCCTTTAAATTATAATGTATTTTGTATTAGTATAGTATGGTGACTAAATAAATTAATGCTGTATTTAATTTACTTAAGTTATTGGTTACTTGCAGCAAAATTACATTCTTTCTTCGTTACCATAGTTAATTTCCATCAGCGTATATTTTAACATTAGAAATATCTACTAAAATATCACTTTTATACCAAAGATCAAGGTTTCGAACTACTGAAAAAATCTCACAATATTGCAACAAAACTTAATTTTTTTGCGCAGTTTATATATAATATTAAAGGTTTCTGATATAAGACGACAATTTTTAATTACATGTGTATCGTTCAAAAAACGAGTTTAAAAATGAGCAAGCGATTTTTTATTCTACGATTAATGTAGGACATGTACACTAAAAATGAGTTGCTGTAAATTTCAAAATAATTCGAAAGCAAAAATGGAAAATCCGAAATTCGATTGGATCCTGGCATCAGAACTCTGTTATTTATAAACGCTATTAATTTTAAATCTACAATTACACAACGTTATTTTGTACAGTCCAGGCCTTAAAAATTGGGCTTAAAAGTTAAACAAACAGTTATAGATATAAAAAGAGGATACTCTTTGGTAACATAAAGTTTCACTTTAAAATCTGTTAACGCCAAGAGCGAAGTCAGTTGAAATATTGCAAAGGCTTAATCACTCCTTTAAAATGATTAAAATATTCACCAAAGCAACACGTTAAACAAGAGAAACACTAAGAAGAGAAATTGTTTTACATCCCTAACGAGCACAAGCTGCGATTTAGCCCGATGCCGCTAAATAATGCATAGAGATTCACATTTTGAAAGGTATTGTTTTAATGGCCTATGGTTAATTTATGTGAACTGAAATCCATCCATATTTGCTTATTTATATTTCAACGGATCAACCTGCAGACCGGAAGGCGTGTCGACGCCGAACATTGGCGCTCGCGGACCCCCCGCGGGCCAATCGCACTTCCGGTCCAGAACGCATAATCCAGAATGGATAAGAAATTAACATTTTCCAGATTCCATTGTTCAAGCTTAGTCCGAAAACTTTGAAAAGGAAACTTTATAAATGTACAAGCCGGTAAAGTCGTGATTTTTATACTAAATTTTGGTGTTCATGAAACGTTAGTTTTTCGTGTTTGGTGTGTGTAAAACAAGAATTTATGTAAATTCGTTCTTTGAGTACAAAGGTTTATTGAAGATCAGTAAAACTCCCGCTATCAGAGCAGTAAAAGTGTTATTTCAGGCACATCCAGGACCGGTTTCGAGCCTAGTAGCTCTCATCAGGTGGATGTAGTCTGAAAATAACTCTCCCGAAAACTGCACTTTACTTCGCCGACGCAAAATGTAGATAAAAATAAAAACTCTGGCTTATATTCGTCCTCAAATTAAAGTTTATACATCACTATTTTCTATCAAATCGAGGATAAAAAATTAAACTTTCTGCTAGATTGAAAAAACGAAGACGAAGTTTATAAAAATATTTGTATGATTTTAGCAATTTATGGAATTTTTCATGTTTTTTTTTTGTTTTAGGTTTTGGATTTTTTTATAAAAAGTGCTTATAAAGCGTCCTTAAACTTAAAATAAAAATCGACTACTAAGAGAGCGAGTCTGGAAAAATTACATAACTGCAATAAATAATTATTGAGAATTGACTTTGTGAACTTTTTTTGGTTGTTTAGGTTGAAGTTTCCAAAAGAACTTGTTAAATCAGCAGATTTCCGTGAGCATTTTTTACTAAAACCATATCTAAAATATGTTGCATAAGGATTTAAAAACATTTTTTAGTTAATGGATTATTTAAAAAAATTCCGACTTTGCCACTAAAGATGAGTATCTAAATGTAGGTTTTAAGCTTTGAATTTAAGTGTTATATGAATACACGGTGTATCAGACCTTAAGTAATTGTGAAAATAATGTTTTTTGCACATTTTAAGTTATATTGCTTAATCCGCTTACTACGGTAAAATTCGCCTATACTCTGATTTACATTAAAATCAATTTGATTTGATTTTTAATTCACGTTAAAATCTAAAAAATCTGCGAAAATTGAAAGATAATTTTTCAAACTTTTTTTTTAAATTCAATTAATTTCATGCCATAGATATTAATAATATTTAAAAAATAAACAATTTGCAAGTTGGATTAAACGCGAACTGTTAAAAGCTGTAGAAGGAATACAAAGAGTATAAATGTAAAATCGGAAAAAATTGCGGTTTCCTTAAAATTTCGCAACAGTTTGCACCTAAAGCACCACTTAAGTACATTTGTTTAAACAAGCTATTGCAAGCCATTTTCAAATCTATTTATGAATCGGTCATTTGAACAAACCGTCGGTGTTCTTAAAGATAGGCAAAAAAGACGAAAATACTTAATGCACAAGACGCGCAAACCATTTTATTAAGTCGTGACGATAATGTTCTCCAATAGATATTATATGACAAAACAATTCTTCGAGGACTGTTTCAGTCTTCATCTTAACAATCACCGGTTGCATATAAATGTTTACCCTGTTATAAGGGGCATAGCAAACGTGTTATTAATATAATAATTAAAGGAAAACGTGTATCATATATTAATCAAGTGTGAAAATATATCAGTTACAATTTCGCAGAGCTGTTAGCCAAAGAGCTAAAAATTACGTTCATGCACATAATTAAATTTAAAACATCAACAAATTAATTGACTTTATATCTCCATTTCGCTGTATTCTGCAATACATATTAAATTTTGGGCAGCAACAAGACATTAAAAAAAAAAACATTTTTAGCCCAAACTAAAATTAAACCAAGCTATCCTCGAGCTACCAAATAAAGCAGCAAAATCATTTTCCAAATTAAAAATCAGCTGAAATATTAATGAAAATAAAAGGAAGGCCCTCGTTTACCTTACAAACCCCCGCAGGGGCGGAAACGGGCGTGTCTTTCCCTCTCTTCTGTCGATGCTTCTTCGCAGGTATGTAACAGCTTTTCGGCTTTGCCGAATACTTTGTTGTTTCCTGTTGCCGAAGCTTAGCAGGAACATCAATCAGTCCCATTGATAGCTAATTGATCAGTCGCCACTGTAATATTAACTCTCAAATTTCCGTTTTGTGATGATACAGAAGAATTGCAACAGCGGTTCTATTGGCTGATGATGAATCAAGATCAGGAAGTGCCAGTGTCGACCAACCAAAGTGAACCAGGACGGCCGTTGGTAAGCATTTTTATAGTTATAAGTTTTGAAATGGCAGTTGTAGTTCAATTATTGCGTTTTTAAGCCGAAAAATTGTATATGGGTTAAAAAAATTTACACTTTATTCATTAGATTGTTAGCAGTTATATGCGGTATATATTTTTTTTATTAAAGCTGATGATAATACATGAAATACTGAAACTGAAATGAATACAAGTGTTCTTTATTAAAAGTGCATTGAGCTAAAAAGGAGGGATTTAAATATTTTGCGGATGCGTTTGAAAAAAAAAATACTTAAAATTGAGTTAACTGTTTTATCTTTTTACTTATTTAATTGTTTCCTTTGCTTTTCATGAACAACTTTAACATTTGGTAAAGACAAGCTCTATTTAAGACAATTTTATGCACTCCATAAAATGTTTTATTTTATAAAGTTTTAACGTTCTTTTACTAAAGTTTTTGCTTCTTCCGGTCGAACCAAAGCTCGGAAAATTGATATTCTTAAGGAAGAACGAAGAAAATCGAGTGGATATTTTGAATGCTTTGAAAAATTCTAATACACATATTGTACCGGGTGTTTAAATGGGTCATGTTTTTTGGGTCGAAGCCATATCCTCCGCACAACATGTATTTAACCTTTTTTCCCTTTTATTATTAGCAACTTTATTATTATTTTTTTCGCAAATAAAGAAAAAGTTAAATGAATTTTGCAAGCAAAATGTGACCAGTTATAAAAAAATAAAAATAAATAATATCTATCGAATGGCTCAGGATAACCAGACGATTAGAAATCCAAAATACTCAGAAGTTTTTAACATCGTATACTTTTTTCTTTCTCGACTGCTCCGCATAACCCGAAAGATTAAAACTTTGCTCAAGAAAACCAGAAAACCCGGCAGTACTTAAAAACCCTGTAAAATATGTTCATTTAATTTTTATGCATATTTTAACTTAAATTGTGTCCAAAAATAGGCCTTTAATTCGATAAAAAAAATATGGAAATTGGATCACCGACTGAGAAAATACTCACAGTCAAAAGTTAAGAAATATGTAAATTAGATATAAAATAAAATGTGATCAAAATTAAAAAACTAAATTTTACAATAGTTAGACAAACATTCCTGTAATTTAGAACAAATTTTTTAAATATCCAAGCATAATGGAATTTAGCAAGAATAAAATGTTATTTTTTTATAAAACCATCAGTCTTCCGGAAATATCTTAAAACAATAGTTTAAAAGGTTTTGAAGCGAAAAACAAGCCGTTGTAATATTGAGTTGGTTTTTCCAAATTATTCGCGATATTTATTAGCTTTCAACTCTCAATTATTATTGAATGTTAATTTCTTCTTTAAGTAAAGTAACTGTCAAACCACATTTTTAGTTATTATTTGAGTAGACAAGCAAAAAACAGAGAATTAACAGAAAATGATCAAAAACGGTTCTTTCTTTTTCATATTTCCTTCCAAAATTAATATTCCTTCAACCCTGTCAGGGGCAATTTTATTGTATTTCTTAGCTTTACCTTATCTGCATTGTTAAGACACATTTTTTTTACCAGCAAAAGTGTATTTTTCTGTTATATTTGTGCTTGCGCTTGATCGGTTTTGAAGTATTTGGAAATTCACGACCAAACAGTTTCTCTTACCTTTTTAAAAAGTCTTTAAAATTGGGACCTTTTCAATTTGCTTTCTTTTTCAGTTGATATTTTTTAGCTGTTTCAACTCAATTTTTTTGAATTCTATCGACATACAAAAAAGCTTACGTTTTTGGATTTTTTCATTCATCTTTGCTAATAGATTATTAAACAAAGCGCTTCATCGACTTTGATATTTCGGCAAACATTTGTTTTACCTGCTCAAAAAAGTCGTTCATATCGGGCCATCTATTCAAATTTCTTTCTGTTTCAATATTGAAGTTTTTTTAGCTGTTTCCACATACAAAAATTATTTACTATTTCTTTGTCATTTAATTGATCTTTGCTAATGGATAATAAAACATGCGTGGGTAATTCAAGGCATTTTAGTGCCGTATCTGGATCATTCCAGAGTGAAACTGTCTTCCTATATTTGACGATCTCAAGAAACCACTTGCAACCCAAGAACAATTACCTTCCATTCAATTAAATTACGAAATCCATTATCATTAGCCACTAGTTGGTAATGATTGAAAGCAATAGTGGAAGTCCAGGGCTAGGTCGTCACAATATGATATTCCTAACATAACTGTTCACAAGTCCAGCATATTACCTTTCCTGCAGTAAATTAACTTCTATAAATTAGCCAATTTAATTTACTTTCTTTACTCTGCACCCTACGAACACACATGAAGCACCCATTTGTGTTGCCGACGTGCCATTGTTTGCTTTTGTCATATTTGGCCCTATTACTTTGTTCTTTTCAGTGAGACAATATCATTAGGTGATGAAACTCGTTTTCAATATGTCGTCGAACGCCTTTGTTTGATTTACTTTTACGGTTTTGTTTAATTTTTTTTTCTTGATGCATGTGATTGATTGATTCGATGAACTGATTGCTTGAATACACTAGTAGATCTTTTGTTATTGCTGATTCAACTGGAAGATTAATGGAAGTCGTGCGACAAAAACAGTTCATTATTTGTGTCTTAGAATTATTATTGGCAGAGTTTCTTTCAGCCTTTGTAATATTTGTGTAAAGCCTTTGACTGCAGCAAAGTCAATAGTGAAATTTAATCGAGTCATATAATTAAATTTTCTATTTTGCATTATAATTTTTAATAATTGATTAAAACGTTAACATTAGATATTTATTGAATTTTTCTTTAACCATTTTAGGGCTGTTTATTCGGATCAACGCCGCCTTACTATCAACACAGTCCGGATCATTACAAAATTATCCCGACTGTTGGTAAGTTAGTGAATCAGTTAATTTTTTATGCAAATTCCGGTATAGATTTGAAACTTCTTAAGAAGGAGTTTTAACCATTTGCCTCATTCATTCCTTTAAGTTTCGAGGAAAAATGGCAAAATACCCGAGGCCTTTATTTTGGTCGACAAATAACTTTAAAATATAAGTTTCGACTTTGTGGATTTCGATCATGGATTGGCAGATTAAAGAATGACAAACAAAAAATATATTAAAATCTTCAAGTTTGCTGATTATAATTTTGACAATGGTGTAATAATAGAAATAAAACAATTTGTTTTTCTTGTGCTAAATTTCGGAAATATGATAAACAAATCAATTTAAAAGAATGACAAAATTAACAAGAAAACAAAATCTCCACAAGCAAAATAACCATAAATCTTTCAAAGTTTGTGTTTTAACTTAATTTGAAAAAATCGTGAAATTATGTAACATTCACTTTGGGACATGGGAGTTAAAGAATAAAAACAAAATAAATAAAATTGAAAACAAGAAGATTAATTACAATTTAAGACAGATTACAATTTAAGATTAAGACAAGGCAATTAATACAACATATTTTAGAAGTTAAACCACATTCGAAATATTTTTTAGAAAGAGAAAACTGATTTTATATAATGTGATACAAATATTGGCAACTTTTAGGATCATTTACGGCCGACTGGCGGGAACCTTGGCACCATGAAGGTAAGTCGCTCACCGATTTTTCGGATTTCGAACATACGCAATCGCAAAATTTCCAGATAAAAAAAATATTATTTCGTAAAAAAAATGTATGAATGTAAAAACTTGAACAAATATTCTATTGCGTAAATCACAACCATTGATGCAAAAATTAGCTAAAATTCTATTAAAAATAAAAATTACACCTACTTAAAAAGTAGCAAGAATGTTTTTTTTTTTTAATTTCTGACTGCTTGTACATTCTTAATGAGATTAAAAGTCTTGCAAACACTCGCATTAACTCCCATCTGTAAATTCTGGGGTTTACCTGTTGCCCCGAACATTATCAACCCCAGTTAATTATTAACCCTCTAAATGGTGGCCGTTATTCCTGAGGGATGTTCCAAACATCTCGGGAATTTGCTATTGCAAGTCGACTTGTTTCGATATCGCAACTAAGCTAAAGTCATTATCGTGCATTAGATTCGACGAATAATTTATGGGAGGTTAAAGAGGTTTTTTATACGAGTTGCGATCCAGGTTTAATAAATTATTTCAATCAGCAAGAGGTGGATATGAAATGTTTTGAAAAGTTTAAGCTCTAAGAGTATGATTTTTTCTTTAAGCTTTTGACTGAAAAATTCAAAATACAGACTTCGTGCAATTTTTTTCAACTTAACACTAAAATAATATTTATTATTCCATTAGGAAACAGTTGTGAAGCTAATGACAGCGAGCAATATGTTCCTGACTCCAACTACAGTTCAAATAATGGTAAGTCACTCTACGATATTTTTTAAAACTAGGATTTTTTACATTTACTTCTTAGTACGACTGGTGGAATTTAATTTCAGTTATTGCACAAAAACTGAATTAAACGCGATTTTTGTTAGTAATTTTGACTTTGCGTACTAATATTGATCAACCATGCACAAATAAAGCACTCACTTTATTCATGCATTTTTCGGGCCTCCTGCCTTTATTTGCGTAAACTTCACTATTTTTTTAACATTTTCAGTTCGTTTTGTTTATTCGGTTATTTGCATCAAATCGATCTGGAAACCCTCGATCCTTCAACAATATCGCGTAATGTGGTTAGCAATTTTTCCAGCCATGAGAGTACATGCTGGGCCTGAGGATCGACCTGCCTTACTTCTTTCGGGAAGCAAAACGTCAATTTATTTCGTGTATGGCTCAACTCAAAACGCAGCGGGTGACGCTCTTTTTCTCCCTTTATGCCACGTAACATTTCCTTTGGAAGTTATAATTTAATGTTTGCGCTTGTCACTCGTTTCAGTAAAATAAGGAAAACGGTTTGCTTGCCATTAAGAAAAAATAACTAAATATTGACAAGATGAGATGATGTACCAGAACACAGAACTCGGCACTGTGTGACTAAGAAATGCTAAGTTTATGTTTTTTTTAGAGGGGCATTTTGCTAGAAACAAAAAGAAAATTTGGCTGGTTCTACAGAATTACATCTTTTTCAAATATTTCATATATTTATCACCTGTTAATGGTCAAGGTTTTCCTTTTCATTCTATCTTTTATGCATATAAACATATAAAAATCGCTTCATTTCAATTAAATTGACGACCACTTCTATGAAAAACAGCTCATCATTGTCAGCAAATCAGAAATACCCAAAATCGGGATCTCTCACATTAACTGAATTATTATTGTTTACGATAATAATGGATGTTTTCATAAATACGGTACAACTCGACTACTCAACAACGTGCTTGGCGCTGCACTAAATGCAGCGAAATTTTTACTTAAATCACTGCTTCTGTTCTACCTGGACCAAGAGGAAGCGGAGTGTTCCACGGGTGTACAAAGAAGCGCACAGAGCGCAATCGTGTTCCTCAGATTAAATAATAATTTAGCGGTAGCTCAAAGCCGGTAGGTGATTCTACTGGTCGACATTCCTTGCGTGTATTACATAGTTTTTATTTTTAAGTTCCTTAATTAATTGTTTTATATATATGTTTTTGTCGGGGACCTCAGAAATACCCTCTAATAATGCGAAATTATTTTCAAGGCACTGAAGAATTGTTATTCGACTAAGTAAAGCGCATTTTTCTTTATAACGGATCAAGCAAATCTGGACAAACTTATTTTGAAACTTAATAAAAATATGCTTAGCAAAGGCGTCCGCAGCCATTGCTAGTGACTGGTGAGTTTTTTGGGACTTTTAGGAAGTAATAACTAACGATTTTTTTCCTAACGTTTCGCAAGCACGAGTGGCTGGCATCCTCAGAGGTGTTCTTGCTTGAAAGCTTACACTGGATTGATCCATCCAACATCAGGCCAGAGCAAACTCAAGCAAATACAGCTCTGCGGATGCCAGGTTGCAAAACATCTGGATAATTCTTTTCCACGGCGCTCATAAAGAACCAGTGAGAAAACTAGAATGAGAAAGTAAGAAATCAGTCAAAAAATATAATTAGTTTGGAGATATATTATCAATTCAAGCCACAAATGTTTTGCAAAAATACAGGCAATGGAAACTTCTGCAAAAAATACTTAATTCCTGCTGAACCCCAAATGCGATAAAACTAAAATTACTGAATACTTAAAAATGAGCGCAAAAGCCACACGGGTAAAACTTTTAGTAAGATCTAAAAAAAAACAATATAAATAAGAAAAATCTTGAATATTTTCAGATGTAAAACCTGATGGAATTTCATCTGTGGGCAAGTCGCCGTTTTGCCATCCTTCCTATACGGCTGAAAACTTTCAAGAAATCTACACGAACGCTTATCAACACACCAGTTGCTTTTACTCAAACACCCTCTATAATAGAATTACCACTTTAACGCATCGAAGTAGTGAAGAGCCACATGGAAGCGATAACGGCCATAGTGTAGGTCAGATTATCAAGCAGGAACCGAATGAAAAGGATAATAATGGTAAGGAATATAAAATGAATGGGCAAAAATGCAGTAAAATTAATTGCTATTTTTAAGCCTCCCCTATTCAAATACCTGAGAGCCATGTAATCCCCCAAACACAATGGGGTGAAGATTCTAATTGAGGGCAATCAATATTAATAAAGCTATTACACAAGCAGAGCCCTTTCAACGCTAAATCAACAAGCCAGTGAGCATGTTGTAAACACTAAGTTTCTCTCTTCGTTGTGTGCTAATATGTCGGCATTTAATTAAATGTCTGATCTGGTCAGAACTTGTTAATAACTTACTATCCACTACCGCTCAAGGCATTGGTGTGTTTGAGGATTAGAAGCTGTTTATTTTCGTTAGTTAGAGTGACGTGCCGTTTCTAAAAGCCTCAATTTGCATGCCTGATTTTAAAACCTAATACGTTCATCTTCCAATGGATCGGATCAATGCCTTAGGGATGATTTTAAAACCGGCAAAGAATGAGTGTTGATTTTCAATGACAGTATCTGATAACAGATTTTTCGCACGTCGTTTTGCATCTTTGCATATTGAAAATAGATGGAGGGCAAATTTCAGGCTTAAGTACGTGAGCAGACCGCTTAATATCTAGCAGGTTTCGGTTTGATGCGATAGATTCAACTTTCATGCCAAACAACAGAAGCTTATAATAATATAATAAACAGAAGTATATAATTTTACTTGTTCAAAAACCCGAAAAATCAAAATGTTCACAAATCTCGATTTATGTTCCCTAACTGCTAGTTTGCACGACAAATAAAGTATTAAATAAATAGGAAGGATTACGTGTTTTGCAAATTTGTAGAAAACAATTTCTGGTAGAAGGCACAACTCTTTCACTTAGTTTTAGATAGGCATCGACTTTGTGTCTATTTTTTCGGTGGATTTCGGATTTCTCAGCACAACCATACGAACCAATATAGAAAACTGACTCGATCACTTTGTGTGAATGTTGACAAGAAATAGCAAATGTTGGAACAAAAAAAATGTATGTGAAGAAAATATATGAAATAATGACAAGCATAAACCTTGCGTCTAAAAACTCTTGGCAAAATTGAAACGCAACTTTGACGTGATAATAATGACAACAATATAACTTTGGAAAAATGAACTTGAGGTAAGAGGCATAAAAATGCCGGGAAATTTCTGCCATTTTCCAAGTTGCAAAAAACACTGAAATGTATAATGAATTGAAAAAATTCGCTAAAAAGTTATTATTACTTTTTTTTTTTTAAATTTTTTAGAATTTTAAGTGAAATCCATTTTTTATTTATAGCCATTTACCCAACGCATTGCGACAATTCCAAAAGTTCCTCCCCATCGAAAACAGTATGGCGACAATCAAGCAACAGTAAGTAGTTTAAGACGAAAAACACCTTTAGGGAAGAGAATTTTCTCAAAAGCGTTTCCATTCCAAACTGCTCAACAAAATTTAAAAAAAATACACAGCGAGAGCGATTTGAATTTCACTTTGAAGCATTATCTAATCTATCTATCTTAATTTAAAATTTCTGTAGTCAATAAATTTTTGGAATTTTCTCAACCAACTCTGTAAGCCGATAATTTGTCAGATTTTCATTATCGGATTTTCCAATTCAAAATATTTTCATTAATTTGTCTAAACATGAACGAATGTTTTTTAGTTCTTTAATTGAGCTTTGAGGCTCTTATTTTTCTTCTTTTTATTAAAATTCACTTTGCAAGTTTAAGCAGTTGTTGGTTGCGTTCAACTTTGTTTAAACAAGAAACCCCGTTAGTTTTTATACATTTAATAGTAACTTTTCTGTCTTTTTAAAAATGAAGCACATAAAATAAAGTTTCTACAGGGTGGATTGGTACGATTTCCATTCTGTAAGAACTGGATTTGCAGTAGTTAATTTTTGCCTTCCAAAAATAATAAGACTACAGATAATTCCAAATCAAAATCAATTCCTGGGCGTCAGTCATTTATTGTCTATTTACCAATTAAAATACGTTTCGGTGTTTTCCACCATCATCAGTTTCTCTAAAATAACAGATAGTAGAAAAAATGTTTTCATTAATTTAAAAAACAATCACAGTTTGTCAACAGCTTCATCATTAGGCCTAATCATCGTTAGGCCTAATTAATCTTAGAATGTTTTAAAGTGTTGCAATTGTAATGTATTTTAGTGTGTGATATGATGAAGCTGTTGACAAACTGTGATTGTTTTTTAAATTAATGAAAACATTTTTTTTACTATCTGTTATTTTAGAGAAACTGATGATGGTGGAAAACACCGAAACGTATTTTAATTGATAAATAGACAATAAATGACTGAAGCCCAGGAATTGATTTTGATTTGGAATTGAAACACAGTCAGGAAAGTATGTACAACTACAGAAAATGTAGATAGAAACAAATAAAAACTGTAATAAAATAAAAACAAATACTGTAGATAATGCTGACCAGAATTTATGCAGCTCCAAAATTATGGTAAATTTGGCGGTATAACTGCTGGTTTGTTGAGGAGCTAAATAGCCATAAATCTAGAAGCATATGTGACAAACTTCTGCAAAATTTTCGAGTACCAAATATTCAAAGTTCAATTATTTTAGGTAACAAATCCTGCGACAGTAGCGGCCGTGCGAAAGATTTGCCTATTTCCGCACGTGAATACACATTTCATGGCTCTCCAACAGGAAGAAGAGGGTCACTCCAACTCTGGCAATTCCTCGTCGCTCTTCTGGACACTCCAGATGTGAGCTCCGGATGCATCGCTTGGACTGGGCGCGGCATGGAGTTTAAATTAATCGAACCAGAAGAGGTCGAGTATATAAAGAGATTTTTATAGACAAGCTGAATGTAGAAAATTGGAACATTTGATGCACCCTAGTTTTTAATTGCATTTTTCATACCTAACATACTATCTACCTCCGTACCAGAATACAGTTCGTTGATAATAACAGTTCAAAATCAGCTTAAGTAAATTTTTGCCATCCAAACCGCTGAAAAAGTTTTCAGAGCATGGGAAAGAATTTCTGAGAATATCTCGGAAATGATGTGGCAACCGCATCTTGAACAGTGAACAAAAAATTCGCATTTTTTCAAACTAGTAAGCCCGAAGAACTCATCGTTTCAAGCAATGACCGCAAAAGCGAAAACGAAATCTTCAATAACTCACTGTCAAAAGTGTGGGCTTTCTAGAATTAATCGCGAATGTGGGAGCTTAATTATAACACACTCAATCGCTTTAATTTCGTTCTATCATGCTCTGTTTATTGATATTATTATATGTAGTTTAGTAGGTGTTTTTTGCCATAAAAATCATATTTTGTTCAAAAAATCCCGATTTTCTTTCCGCTTTTTCAGGTGGCAAGACGTTGGGGTGCACAGAAGAATCGGCCAGCTATGAACTACGACAAATTAAGCCGATCGCTGCGATATTACTACGAAAAGGGAATCATGCAGAAGGTTGCAGGTATGCTTAAAATTTGCCTTCCATGTCGGTTCCTCTTTCATATTAGAAAAAGAATTAAATTTGATATGACACCTTATGAGCTTTCCTCAACTGTGAAAGTAGAACATTTTAAAATCTACAACCTACAATCATTCCCTTATCTGCTACAACATAATTTCCAAAGCGTTTCTTATTTAGGAGAAAGATACGTGTACAAGTTCGTTTGCGACCCAGAAGCGCTGTTTAATATGGCATATGGAAACCAACCAGAATCCGGTCTAAAAGTCCAAACGAAAGCAGAACAGATAGGGCCGAAATTGGACACTCATAATTTGGCCTATACAGATATGATAAGCTTTTACAATTGCGGCCTGGCCCATTCCTACCAGCATCTTCATCCCTACTTGCAAGATTCTAGAGCTACCAGGTATCCCTAATTGAGTTTACTGGATTATTACAAAAGAAAACACCTAAAGTTCGTCCTATAAAACCCACATTCAAAGTGAGTTTATTTCGAAACCTCCAATGAATTTTCGTTTAAAAGTGGCCATGAAATTACTTAATAAATGTATGTTGTTATGTTTTATACAGCTTCATTGTAAATATACGCTTTTACGGTTCCATAATTGTTAAGACATTGATGTAGGTACCTAATGTACGATTTATGCAAATAAACGTTTAAGTCTATTTATGATTTTGATCTAGTTGTACCTAATGTATAAGTGGCTTTTATATTTTTTGCTTCGGTAATTAAAATGTCTCAGATGACTGAATGTACTCGGACAAATTATTGAAATTCCTATACTTAGTGTTGTGAAAATCGCAGAGTAAAATTAGTCATTTTATGAATAATTGCAATCACGCAGTAACGATTTAAATAGACAATTACCTGACTGACCTTAATTTAAATAGGTTGATGCTTTTCTGGTAACCAGTTTTAGCAAAGCACAACCAGTCTCACCTACAGAATGAATCAACTATTCAACCGGCAAATGTAAATTATATGCTTAATATGATACGAGTGGAAAAATGTGTTCAAATTTTACTAGATTAAATGAAGCGAAAAGGCAGAAAAAATGACTTCTTAAAATCAAAGCTTGTAACATATGTGGAAAAATTAACACAATTTTGATTTTACATACGTACTTTCTCGGTCTAAGTGATGTTGAGTTCCAATAGTTGAAAAATCAAAGGAATTTCCTGGGGTTGCGGTTGGAAAAATATGAGATTTTTTAAAACGAATGAATTATTTGCATAAACAGCTATCAAAATAAAAAAGCATCTAAAAAATCAATTACAAAAAATATATACAAGCAACGAACATTCACGACTGCAAAAAATTGCGGGAAAACACCTATTCAGATTTGAAGAATATAAATGTAGTTAAATTACCGGTTAAATGTATTTGTTAAATATATTTGCCCTCATCTGCTTGTATTCTGATATACATTTTTTACTGTTACTTCAGAGTTTCGATTAAATTTTCCATCGTACTTAACGATAAATAAACCGTTTTAAATAGGTGGAAAACAGCCGACATACCACTTTGCAGTCAAGAAAAGTGTATGCAAATTATTGGTATGTTATATTCAAGATCACACCGACCACATCCTGCATAGCAAATCAGTTATGTAAAAGGGAAATCAATGTTACATTTACACAGCAGGAAAATCCAACTTTTCAAACCTACAACCGAAAAACGCTCAGAAACCATATTCCACGTCCTGTTTTAGATGCGATCATTTTTGCACGAATTTTCATTATACACCATGTATAATATTCCATTAACATCAAAGTTGAACAAATATACTTATTATAATCCAGCAATCGTGCAGTGCGCGACTACAACGAGCTGGTCGTGATAAGATACCATACTAATTTTGTGTCGAAATTGTCGAAAATTAAATAAATGCAGTGGGGAATCGCGTAGCAGGACTTGCTAAAGAATTGTGAAAAAGTGGCAAAGTAACTTGGCTGTAGTGAATGTGACCACTTGGATTATTTACTAGTGTCTATTCGTTGAAAATGTTCTCAAATAGTGTAAGTAAGCAATTATACAGAGAATAACACATTTCAAAAGCTGTTGAATTGCTGTGGTGCAAGAGCCGATAAAACACACTTTGGTTTGAATCAATTAAATTTCAATGGCCTTTAAAATATTATACAGTCGAATTGTTAACGTCCTTTTTCGAATTAGTTGTTGTTTGCTAAATCTTTTTTGAACAACAAAAAATAAAAAAATTGTATTTAGCCAATTACGATTGCCATCAAATAAATAGCTGCTGATTTGGAACACGATGTATCAATTTTTTAAATCAATTTGAACGTATCTGAAATTTGGGCCAAAACAGAATTTCGATCAAAAAGAAGGCGATTTCAAATTTTAATCTGCCTTTCTGAGGGTTTTTGAAAAAACTGTTTTGGACTTATATTATAGACTGTTTTGGACCTGAATTATTTCCAAATTAGTCTCGCACTGTGCACTCTTTGGACATACGATAAATTCAACAGTAGTTTAAATATAAATAACAACTACCAATTTAATAATAGTTCTTTTGCGTCAAATTGTTGGTTTTTGTTAAAAAAAAATCAATTTTACATAATGACCTCAGTATAACAACCGATTAATGCACTGAAATTTAATGAATAATTAGCAACATTATTAGAAGCCAAGGAATGTGTAACAGATGTATTGTGCCGATAACTCAAAAAATTTATATAACGCAACTATTTGAAATTTTTAAATCGAAAAATAATCGAAGTTTACAAAAAAGTGTTTAATTTTGGATCAATTATTGAAACTATTTTTAGCGGTATCTATTTCAAGCAGACGTTATTCGATTGCAATGCTCATTCTGCCGTAAATGTGACCTTTGCAGGGAAGATTAATTTTGAGGCTCATTAGAAGCCTACAAGGATTAGTCCGGGAGCCACTACAGTCAAGAAAAATTTTAAATTTTATCAAAGTTTACAATTATGGAGTTTATTGAACTGGCAATTTCTAAACCACCAAATTCCTTATTAACATACTTTTATCTTGAAGCATATTATATTTTGAAAACTTAAACAACTTCGCTCTATACAGGGCGAGGTCAACAAATGCAACTTTGCTTTTTCCTTGCTTTCTATCAATTGCAGATGTCGTTTTCCAATTTGTGAATGTATTGGCTAAACTCTGTACACCGACAAGTAAATATCCCGAATCATATCACAGATTAGATTATATGGATTACTGCAGCTCGTATTGGACTATTAACTTGTAATCTGCAAAATTAGACACTGAATTCGAGTGTTTCCACACGTTCTTATATGTAGTTCAATTTTATTCTTGGTAATTTTACTGCAACCAACTGAAAAATACTTATATATTTTGCGCACTTTGTCACCTCTGCCCTCACAGTAGGTCCACATTTTCCGACCTCTCCCGGGAAATTGAAGAAGGCAAACCTGGAAAACGGGAAATTTGATCAATACGTAGGCGCATGGTGTTTAAAACAACACACATAACCAACCGGTGCTAGTAATGTTTATTCGTGCTAAACGATATTTATTAACAACCTAACACTTCCCATATGCAATTAGCCTAACAAATCAGGTAAATTGAATATGGTTGTTGAGAGGTGAGTTTATTGGTGCTTAACGAAATTAGTTATTTAGTCCAATTATTTGGCATATTTAAAGCGCTTTCAAGCTATTTTGACTGGCTTTGTTCTCGAAACTTGTATAAATTGGGAAATTACTGCAAATGCGGCTGTTTTCCAATAATTTGGTTCTAGAAAGGAAAATGAATAGGTCATTGAATGTTCTAAATACTCGACTATTTTACCTGATGCTGCCTTTGTCCCAATATATATTTTTATGATTATTTCTGCATGCTTAGCTCAAAACTTCACTAGAAAAATCGGCGTTTTCTCTCTTTCAACCACTGTTTGCATCGACATTGTCATAATTTCTTAAATAGATTTTGAGCAAAATTCGGAGACAAACAGGGCTAGAATATGAACTATTGCATCAAAAACCGCAAATTTAACGAGAAAAAATATGTATGTCACATGGAGACAAAACCAGGCAAGAAAAAATATTCAAACAAACTGGACAAACATTTCTAATATGATTTTCTTGGCAAAATTTTGCTAAAAACAATTCGGAAAATGAGCGAAAAAACTAGTTAAAAAAGAGAATAATACCACTATGAAAAACAAAATAAGTGAAACGATTCTAGCAATTAAAGCTTTCAAATATAATAAATAATCCCAAACGGTAACTAATAAAGTAAATGTTGGGGTTTTACCTTGAACAGACTTCAGTATAATCAAATAAAAACCAAATAAAAGAGTGCAGTTAAATGAAAAAGTTGTTCTAGCCAGCAGCTGTTCGCCATTTTTCAGAAAAATATACGTAAAATCTAAACCAAAATAGTGAAAAAAATCCAAAAAACCTACTAATGTGATAAATTAAATTATATTTTTTACAGTCTAATCCTATTCGCTGTTGAACATTGACCAGTTACCGACGATTACTGGCAAACTTTAACTATTGGACTTAACCATGACCGACTTAAATCTGGACCTCAACCAGTCATTAGACCTACGAGTGGCTCAGTTCAAAAATGACCCGGAAAAAATGGCAGAAGTTTCCGACTTTTTAAATGAAGTCTTCGACAAAGCGCAAAAGGAAGCCGAACTGAGACGGAATGAGAAATCGTCCAAAGGAAAACTAGTAAGTTTTACAATGCGTGCACTCTACACATGAATCATCCGAAATCAATTATAAAATTATTGTACTACTTACAGCATGTTTTCTGAATGATTCTCACCGGGCTTTTTGCAATTTTATATAAGGCATTTAAAACAATTGGCAATTCCTCAAACCAGTTTAAAACTTGCACGAAAGAAAAACTGTGAATGTTTTTTATATTAACAAATTTTGATATTGTTTGCAGGATGCTTTAGGATTACAAAGTAAGTTTTCTGTTTTAACTGATATTGGCATGGAACGCTGAATTGCATGAAAAAATTGCATAAAACAGTGTCAACTAGCTGAAAGTATTCATTTCTTTATTATTCTCTAATTTATAAGCGCCCTTTGTGTATTTCAATATGACAACATCAGTTCTTTATTGGTCGGTAAAGTTTTTCGTTAGTGCCTTAGTAAACGACTTTAGTTAGAATAAAATACTATAAAACTATGAATTGGTTATTGTGGGTCAAAGTAAAAAAACAAATTATCTAAAATGTGTCGAACAATTTAGAAAAGATCAGTTTTAACAATTGGAAAGCCTAAAATTAGTAGCTAAATGCGAAAATCGAAACAAATTGAGGGTTCCATTTGTAATAAACCTATCGAGGTTTAAAAGCATTCTAATTTGGCGGCTCATTCGCCGGTTTGTAAAGGCTGAGACCGCACGTAACTAATTTCATTAGATCGTCTAAGCCACAGAAGACTAAAATTTAAGGATAAATACGTAAATCGCAAATAAATTGTGGCCTTTATTTGAAAAGCCATAGTTGATTGCTACCACATTTTCATGACGCACTCCGTAAATAATGTTAAAATACGCATCTCCCAAACTCCAAAAAAAATCGTAAGCAAAATTTCCTTCTAAAATGTATCTTTACGGAACTATCGCACTTTGACGCACTAGTGAGCAACTCCATATGTCTGGGTAAATCAAACATTTGGAAGTACACTAGTTTTCGTTAGATTTACTTATGAAGTTTTTCTCCTCCGGAAAATCTGCTACTAAATAAACCAATTAATTTTTTTCAATTTTTAGACGGAACCAAAAAAATTGGAGCATGGTCCAACCGTGCTAGATCGTCTGCCCGAGTGTTTGCGACCAGGATCTTTACCACCATATGTAATTGTACCAATACAATGCGGAGTACTTTTGTTGCTCGCAACAATCATAATTAGAAAATATATATGGAACAAAAGCAGTAGCACTTAGTTCTCATGGTCTCAACATTTACTTCGTGATATGTCTTAGTACTATAATCAATTTAGTTAAACCCAGCTGTAATTGGAATTGGACCGAATTGATGAAATCCAAAGGAATATGTGGAAAAATATGAAAGACCAGGGTGTTTTCACCGACCGTTTTTAAAATATTCAGTATTGTCGCAATGCAATAATTTTACCAATTCTTGTGTGTTCAATTGTACTTCGATGTTGTGTTGTTGCACGAAAAAGTTCGGCATACAGACGATTGATAATAAACGTTGAATACAAGTCTCAATTAACAGTATGACATATCCTAACCAGGTTGTTGCTATGTAATCCAATGTAATCTAATGTTGTATCTTGTTGTTACTGCCAAGTTTATTTAATGTTACCTTCCATAAATGTTAGCCATTAAAACTGTTGTAATAGATATAGTGAATACCAATAGTTGAATCTACTAGTATAATTTGCTGTGAATCCACCTTAGTTGAGAGCTATATTTATTTAAGCAAATCAAAGCCAGAAAGGTATCTAAAATCAAATGTTAGAAAATAGTTTTGTTGGCAGGCAAACAGTTTAGTTTAGTTAATCCCAGACAATCAAAATTAGTAACTTAATGTTACATTGTACTTGAAGACTCAACTTTGAAAAAAAGACAATCACAAAATAAAAACAGAGAGTTTAGTTAGAACTGTTGAAGCAATATGGTATTAAATTATGTATAAATTTGTCAGCTGTAGCCAAATATGTATACTTGATTTAAAAAGCTAATTTGCTTGCTACGGAAACTGCAAAATCCCATAGAATTGGATTTGTTATAAATTAAATTGTGAAGCGCGTGAGCAAAGAATTACTATTGAACTGGAGACTTTTTTGTGCCACTAAGTCTCCTCAACTTAAAGTGGCATAAGAAATGTCTTATATAAAAATTACAAATAACTATTTACATTTTACACTCTTTGTATACAGTTTGTTGCATAATCCATTGCGTAAAGGTGAAGCGTCTTTCTCCAGTCCCTTAAGCGAAAACTGTCCTATAGAAGGGTGGTAATTCCTTTTGGAAAACATTGTGAAACTTTTTTAATCTAACCGTTGATGGTTTCAAACTGTTAAATAATCAACGTTTACAAAATGTTCACTTACCATTCAATTGCCCATTTTTGTATCCAAATTAGCCACTACACAAACACACACACACAAAGTCTTTAAAACACCGAAAATCACTTTTAACAAAATCAATGTTCACTTGTGATTGTTCATTAACGCACGGGAGTTGACCGAATCAGGCGTATTTTTCGTTAAAACCGCACAACCAATCGGGAGAATACCATAAAACGGCGATGATAAACTGTCAATTTAAAAAAATATCTAATTTTTCATAAAAAATCTGATAATTTTTTCAAATTTAGACGGAGCAACCAGCGCGACCAGTATCTTCTTGACTACTGGCTATTTCAACGAAATTACATAAAAATCAGGTACTTCTTGGAAGGATGTTTGTTTATAAGAAGATTTCACCACAAATAATGCGTTTCTTTAATTTTAGCAATACAAGCAACAAACGGTATATACCGAGAAAATACAGAGCTAAAGAAAATATACATTTTATGAAAGAATTTGGCAGTTTTCTTTAGTAGTACCTCGATTTTGCTTTACTGATGTTGCAGTATCGTCATGTTTGATACACTAACATATTTTTCTTTATTTATTATCAATCATATTCCATATTCAAAGTTAAAGTTAAATTAGAGACAAATTTATCACAGTCAAGAATTTTTCAGTTTGATCGCATTTAATTGTTGCCATTATTCAGACCCCGGTCATTTCCCAGTTCATCAAGCCCTCGCGTTGGGAGTTTAAAATATGCTCACCTTATAGATAGTACATTTTCTAATAACTTTTCTAGTGAAGATGCGGTCTTCGACCACCTTTTCACTGACTAAAATTCACTACTTTTTCATGAGAAAACGACTTCATGACGTGGACGTTGTCTGTCACAACGACGCAATTCAAAAACTTCTGACTTACTTGCCAAATCTTAATTTTGCTTGAAGTGGGTTTTCCCTTAGACATATTTTGTGAGTAATTTTGTTAGTTCCCGTTAACTTATTTAAATTTTGTTACATTGGTAACCTGCATCTTTTAAATAATGTGAAGCCGCTATCTGCCCAAGAACTCACCGACTTAGATCTGCGACTTTGGTGCAAATTTGGCAACATAATCTAGAGGCACGTGCAGGAAGGTGGGAGGTGAATATGGAAAAGTAGTGACTCTAAGTGGTCAAAAACCACATTTGCACAAGAAAAGCTATTAGTACAGAGTATGAGTAAACTGATTAAATAAGGGGAGCATATTCTTAATTGCAAACAAAAAATCCTGATAAACTAATAAATTACCAAATCGCAGTTACTATTTTTTGAACTTCACTTGAAAGTCACCAAGTTTCTGATTTGAAAACCTCGTTTTTAGCTTAATTCTACACAACTGGTCGGCAAAATAACACCAAATGAACAATGAAAACTTTTGCTTTCGGAAAATCCGAGATTCTCCGCAAAAACAGCATTAAACAATTAACTAACTAAATCGACAAAGTGACATGAGGGTGACAATATTTTTGATCGTTTATAAAGTTTGCAGCTGCAAATGACCTCAGGTATGTTAATTGTTCAGTTTTAACATTTGTATTGATATCACGATTCCCCATAATCCTTCAACTAGTAAACCACAAGTGAAAAGCCTGTAGTTTTTTAGTTTGATCACTTTTTATTGGCACCGTATTTAGAAAACAAATAATTTGTGTTGTATACCAGTCAAAAAAAGGCCCCTGGGGCGACACATAATCTTTCAAGAGCTCTTTAACATGCCCCCTCTTCTGGCAATCAGCTTAATATAAAAAATTGATTTGCACGTTAGGGTATAATATTGCATCTTAACTTTTCTAAGGCAGTGGAGATCTTGATCAATTGACATACATACTTATAACATCACTTCAATTGCTTTAGAACTCTATAAACTTTCGATACATTATAATAAAAAGGCAAACACTGTCCTTTGTACTCAATTGTTTCCACCACATAAGGTGGGAACAATTCGTAAACAATACTCTCCTCAAATTTTATTTTTAATATCTGGGTTACACCCAGATTAATAATAAATGTACCGCTAGTTTCTTTCTCACCGGAACTGGATAAAACACTAACTAAACCACATTCCCACAAAGTGACTCCGTACTCAGTCCAACACTGGTTTGCCTGAAACCGAAGAACCCCGTCTTCACTTTCGGCTGTGCCCGTTTCTTTTTCATGTTCCCAAATTTTTACTCTGCATTTTGCCGATTTTAAAGCCTGCTGCAGCTGATATGCCAGCCCTCCCTTTTTGTAGGACTTTTTCCTTTTGGGAGGCTCATAGTAAAGTGAACGGAATGATCCAAATGCATTATTTTCCCACTTTACTGGCGACCCGAATTGGCTTTCAAATGGCTCAATTTTCGGCTCACAGGAATCAGAAATTGGTGATTCTGAATCAATCTGCAATGTGGGATCAGGAATGAACAAGTCAGGGCTGGTCTCTCTTTCCCTTTCAGCAAACAATTCCTGATTGACTTTTCGGCGCTTTTTCACTGCCCTAAAGCGATATTTCTGTATAACGGGAGAAACGACAGTGTCCTGAATTGTCTGCTTTCTTTGAGTCAACTCTGGGGATATGCTGTTTAAATTACACTTACTTAACTTAAGGATTGGTGATGAACAGTTACTGCATGTGTCGCTTAAAATGCCAACAGGAGATCTTAGGGATTGTGTCCGTGCTGGAGTTATGTACCCCTTTAGGCCATTTGGATCATTTACTGCACGTTCGTCTTCTGAACTGGATGATTCCCAGATTATGTATTCTGAGGCTCCAGTTTGGTTTTCATAATTTTCACACACTGATATCCAATGCTTTTTTGCCATTTTGATACTAACTCGTCGAAAGAAACGTTCTCTTTTGAATTAAGAACATACTATGATACTAACAATCATAGATAAAGACTGATGCTAACAATCTATTGTCTTTATCTATGCTAACAATGTAAATTGGAAATGTTGTCAGTTATATATAACCTAGAAAATGAGAACTTCCTTACATAGAGAAAATCAGACTAAACAGAGATAGATGTAAGACTCTGGCGTCACAAACTGAGGCGAGCATCCCAAACTTGAATGTACATTAAATTTAGCTCATTGAATGCTGACTTGAGTTCATGTACTCACCTTGTAGATAATATTTTCTTTAACTTCCCCTAGTTATAAAAACTGATATGTCCTTAGTGGCGTTTTTGCGCACTAACTAGTACCACATGAGATTTGATTGCCCCAAACTATTACGTCAGAGATTTTTAGGGCTGTTCTGTCATGAGTCGGTCACAGTTTAGCCAACTGGCATCCATGACCATGACTAACTTCGCGCTTTTAGCTCACTTGACTTGCTTTGCTCGGTGTTGCCGGTGTCTATAGAAATACAGAATTTTAAGTTTTTATTACCATGGGCCCATTCTTTTGAAGATTTTGGTCAACAAAATAATAAGAAAATACACTTTATATCTGGAGGATTTCGGCGTTCTTTTTAGTTGTCTCTTAAAGTACAATTAAAATAAACGACATTGAGCTAAAAACAAATGCGGTTTTATCTGTGGCTGCCAGAAAACACCTTTGAAACGGCAAGTTTGGCAATGCTGGTCTGTCAAAACTTGAACTGTCGTTGTCAATACGGCGTTAGTCCTTTCTTGAAGTACAGCAATTTGTGTAGCACGTGGAACGTGAAAGAGAGGTAAGTTTTTGCCGCTATTCATTAAATATTAGTGAAAAAAATTAAATTTACGGACTGAACATTTAATTGTTTGGGTCCACAAAAGTTTTTAAGGTAAAACAGCTAAACATTTGAACGTTTGTTTTCAGTCACAATGGTCGCGCAGAAAAAACAGAAAAAAGCAATTGAAAGCATCAACAGCCGTCTGGCTTTGGTGATGAAGTCTGGAAAATACTGTTTGGGGTACAAGCAGACTTTGAAGGTAGTTATTCGCACGATTGCATCTGAAATCATTGAAATTATTTGAGGTTAGGAATCCTTTCTACATGGAACAAATGAATCGAACCCCATGCCGCGTTAATGTAGAAAATTTTCTTCAGTTTTTATACACGAAACATATAAGTGTGGTTTCTACCGATGGAATTGTGTTATTCGAAATGCAGGGAAATTATCACTGTCTATCTTAACAAGTTGAAAATACAGTTGAGTCCAGATATAACGAACTTGAAAAATGAACTAAAACTGGTTTGTTATATCCGGAGTTCGCTATAAGCGAATAATAATACAAAAACACGAGGTGTATTTTATTTCGTTATTTTTACATATATTGGTGGAAGTTAGTAGATATGACTAAAAAGAACAAAAAAAGGTATTATGCCTCTTCTTGAAACGCTCTACGCAACTTCTTGAACAAACAAACTCTTTGTTTTTGATTTTACTCCCCATTTCACTAGCCTTTTCTTGCAAAACACTGCCTCTTATGGAACGTTTTCTTGTCTTTTTTTTATTAAACCACTTCCTTCCACCAGTCCCTTGTAGACCTTTTCATGTGCAGATAATTTTATCATAGGCTGATAAAACGTTTTCTCTGTTTTTCCATATTGTTGCGACAGTAGACTTTCCAAGTGCTAATTCCTTACAACTGTCACTCTGCTTTACTCCACTTTTTATTTTGTTAATAATCTCGTACATTTCATTTAGTGAAAAAGTTTTGCATTTTTGTTTTTCCATTCTAAAACAATTTACATACATAACGCGGCAAAACACAACAAGTCATTGCCTGTCTCTCGCTCTCACAATATATACAACTCCGCACGATTCGTGTTGCTGAGCGGAAAGTGAATATAGAACTAACCTAAGAAGTGATAGTTATATCCGGAAGTTCGTTATAACCAGTAAAAAAATACCTTGGTCTTTATGGATGACGTTTCAATTAAAGGAAAAAGTTCGTTTTAACCGAAAGTTCACTATAACAGGGTTCATTATAAGCGGACTTTACTGTATGTTTAAATACAGATTTTTTAAAAAGGTGTCCTATTTTCAAGGCAGCGTGTTACCATATTCATAAGTCTCCGTAGAATGGAGTCAAGTATTTATTTCAGCGACAGCGTAGTTTTTTCTGTCCCTCGGCATGTTTTTACTAAACAACAAACATGTAAATTAGGTGCATGTTATGTTCAACTCATAAATCACATAAAATGAGAAAAAAACAGATTTACAGAGTTTAAAATAAATTAATTCAACATTTAAGCGACACATTTTAAAGGTATATGCCATTATTCTAGTCCAAATATTTGTTTTTTTTTTTAGACTTTAAGACAGGGCAAAGCCAAGTTGATCATTATATCTAACAACACCCCGTCTTTGAGGAAATCAGAGATTGAATATTACGCTATGTTGGCCAAAACTGGTGTCCATCACTATACGGGCAACAATGTGGAATTAGGAACCGCATGTGGCAAATATTTTAGGGTTTGTGCCATGTCAATCACCGACCCTGGAGATTCCGACATAATCAAGACGATGCCAGCTGGCGATGGAGCTCCTCAATAAGTCATCCAATAAAAATAATTAAAGTTACCTTTGCTTTTTATTTCTGGAAATGCCCCATGCAGATAATTGCATACAATTTGCCGTCTCGTATTCGTTTTATTTTTAAGTAAAAATTAACTAGAAAAATCCAGTTTTTGTTGGCGCAGTTTCACTATTTTAGCTGTAAATATAGTTTAATTTATGTAAATCCAAAAATGCCTTCAATAGGCAGTAGTTCATTCAGTTCAGTTATTTTATTATTAAACTTCTCACACAAATTTTACTGGAAAAATTTAATATAGTAGGGATGGTTAATAATAAAAAACAAGATTTAAAAACTAAATTTTATTATTACATATATGCAATTATTTACATAAGAATGAAATCGAATAGGTAGTTAGATATTTCACAAATAATGGAGTTTTTGAAATCTATACGGTCGGAATCAAGTTAAGAGCGGATAGTATAAGTTTCAAAAAGTCTCAGCTTACAGAATTCTATGTTTGAAAACTGTTGAATTTTTCTGCTTTAAATAGTAAAAAAAACCGAATTACCTAAAAGCAATTGTAAATGAGATATTTAATACTAAAATATTCGTACAACACCTTGGAACTGCAAACAACCATCATTACCATCTTAGGTATCCAATTTGCACTTCGGCATACCGTAGTAGAATAAAACGACATATTGGAACTGGGGTTTTAATTTAAATAAGTAGAAAATTATAGGGTAGGTTCACTTCGATTGCCATTTTACCATCATTTTATCTTGTATACTTGACTGGAACAAAACGTACTGTGATCTGTTACTCACACTCCAAAGAGGTATTGACAAAACAAAGTTAAACATGTCTCACGATGGTGGATTTTTCAAAAGCTCTTCTAAGATAGGCTACGTTCCCTCCGAACATCACCACCAGCCCCGTGATCGCCCAGCCGTTGATGGGTTGGAATTTTATCGAAGAATGGATGTTTTAGAGCATCACGCAACGTAATTCTTTCAGACGGCTCATAGTCAAGCATTTTAAATACCAAGTCGAAGAGATAGTTATGGTCAGGATCATCAGACTGTTTGTACCGCTAAAAATAAATAAGTTTATATATATATATATATAAATAATCTTTATTTTCTACAGAAAAAGGCTATCGACCCAATCGGCCTTTCTGCCCTAAATAAGTAATTGCTTTGAAAATATAATTTGTATATTTTTATCACTATTTTCAAGTCCTCTTACCAATAATGGCTTGCAGTTGTCTCGTACGTATCGACCAGCTGAACTCTTTTCATCCCAATCTAGTCGTCCTTTGTAGAAGTATTTCGTCTTTGTTTTTCTTGCCATTCTGCCATGGAAAACATTAGATAGCGTTATTTTTAGAATGAATACATTTGTCTAAACACTTAGAATTTCATAGTTTTTTGCTCAACTGGATCAACATTGGGACTTTCTCAATCCAGGTAGATCAACAAAATGAGTTAAAATGCATGAATTAAGCCGATCGATAAAATAGTAATTGATAGATTTTGGGAATGTAAAATGTACCTTTGAGGAAATTCCCCTAGGATCCGCTGCATCATCGCCAAATGTTCACGATTATCATGAGTTTGAAATAAAGTAATGCCAAGATAAAGTTCAAACAGTATGCATCCTATAGACCAAACATCACATGGTTGGGACCATCCAAGTTCTGCAAATAACAAACGAGTATAAAAATCAAGTATTGCGATCACTTCGTGATAGTTAAGGCCTTTCGATGTAAATGTGAGGAATTTTAGCACCTGGTTAAAATAGTTCGAGACAAATTTTAGAATAGATTCATAGACTCCCAAGGCGTGGGCACAGTTCGCCCACTTTTCTATTTTAGTTTTTCACCCATTTCGTTTCTTAGTCGCTAATTTACATCGCTTTACAAACAAAGTGTTAGCATTATTGAACAATAAATTACTTAACCAGTTTGCATTGAATGCTGTGGCAAGGAAGAGCGAGTGATTTCGAAACGATGAAACGATTACCTCGCGTTTTGATGATGCTTAAGACATTATTCTTCTTCTTAGCGTGCCTTATCCGTCGCGGACGTTGGCTATCAACATGGCAATTTTAATTTTATTGACGGCATTTCTAAATAGCTGTATAGATGTAAGTCCAAACCACTGTCGTAGATTTTGCAGCCATGAGTGTCTTCTCCTTCCTCGTCCTCTTTTACTGTTGATTCTTCCTTGAGCTATTAACTGGAGTAGACGATATTTTTGATGTCACATTATGTGTCCGAGGTATTCCAGTTTCCTCTTTTTAACTGTGAGTGTAATTTCTCTCTCTTTCCCAATTCGCTGCAGCACTTCTTTATTAGTTATGTGGTCAATCCACGAGATTCTGAGGATACAGCGGTATATCTACATTTCAAAGGCGTTTAATTTTTTCATTATTTTCATCATTGTGTGTCTGATCTTTGCTCACCACCATCCACTTTGTTTTTGATATATTTAGGCTAATACCGTGGTGTGCACTCACTTTCTGTATTTTTTCCATGGCGCGCTGCAATTCGTCTATGTTGTTGGCTAGTATGACTGTATCATCAGCATACCGCACATTGTTAGTCCACTATCCGTTTATCTGTATACCCTCTGTTGCCTCCTCCAACGCTTTTCCAAATACGTTTTCCGAGAATATATTGAAGAGGAGCGGAGACAGGATGCAGCCTTGCCTCACTCCTTTTTTTATTTCTATGTTGTCAGAATACCGGTTGTTCAGCTTTATCTTAGCGGTTTGTCCCCAATACATGTTTGCTCTTATGCGGATATCTTTATTATCGATGCCGGTATTTTCGATGATCTTTTGTAATAGCTCATGGTCTACGCTGTCAAACGCTTTGGCAAAGTCGATAAAGCAAAGATATACTTTTTTGTTGACATCTCTACATCGTTGGATAAGAAGTTGTAGACTAAAGATAGCTTATCTTGTCCCAAGGGCATTCCGAAATCCAAATTGAGATTCACTGATGTTTTCTTCACATTTAGTGCATATTCTGTTGTGGATTATTTTCGTGAAGACTTTGTTGACTATGAGTCGGTGTTGATCAGAGGTTTTTGCGTTTTGTTTTTTCGGCACTGCGATGAAGGTTGATTAAAGCCATTCTTTGGGTATTTCGCCCCTATTATAGATATCATTAAATAGACTCGTGAGGATATCGAGAAATTGATTATCAGTTTCACACATAAGTTTTAGTATTTCTACTTGAATGCTATCAGGTCCAGGAGCTTTGTCGTTCTTGAGAGATAGAATAGCTTTTTCAGTTTCGGATTTCATAATTGGGGGTCCCGTATCTATCTCATTCATATTGTGTTCTTTAGGTCGTTCCGAAGCAAAGAGGAGTTCGACATATGATTTCCATACCTCTAGACATTTTGATGGTTCCGATATAATATTATCGTTAGTGTCCAGTATGAACGTAGTTCTGTTGTTTATTTTCTTTGTTGTCATTTCCCTTATTTCCTTATGCATATTGCGGTAGTCGTACTTTACTTCATATTGTTCCATCTTGTCACATTTTTCAGAGAACCATTTTGCCTTTGCCTCTCTAATGTTTTTCCTGATGTTTTTGTGAATTTCACTCTTGTTTTTTGTATTTATCCTTTTGCAAATATTTTTCACAATTTGCTTGCATAGAGTTTTTGAATTTATCCCATTTATTTGTCTTGTGCTTTAGTCGTGTTGTTGTTGATTTTCTTTAAATCGTTAGTCGTTTATTATCAGCTTGTTGACTTTTTAATAACGGAAAACCAATTTGAATCTACAACACAGTTGTAATTAACTGTGCGAGTCCCGACCCAGACTTATAATTGTCAAAGATCCAAATTTCCTAAACTTTCATACAACTTAATCTGGATAAAAATAATTTCAGAAAGTGTAGAAATGCGTATCAATCTTTGCGTCAGAAGCACCAATGCAAAAATATCCGGGACTTTATTTTCGCTGCCAGTTCGCGATCAGGGTTTTTCACAATTCCCACATTGAACTTACCAAGTATTACTTCTGGGGCCCGATAGTGTCTCGTTGATACGATTGTACTATGATGTTCATGGTCAAACGTAGCACTGCCGAAATCGATCAACCTAACATCAGTCTTGGCCACTCTCATCACATCGCGCCTCTAAGCAAGGAGCAAATACAATATTTAGTTCAATTTCATAAGACTTGGAAAACATTTACCTTTTTGGAGTTGTACACTAGTTCGAATTCGGAGTCCACAAAAAGTATGTTTTCCGGTTTGAGATCCGTGTGCGTTAGTTTGTTGTCGTGCAAAAACAGCACCGAGTAGCACAGTTGATAGGCAATGTGTCTGACCTGTTCCAATGGGTACGGTTGATAATTGTTGTCTTTCTGTAAAATAAGCTAAAATATACACACCTGTTTATTCCTTCTCATAAAATTACAACTGCACACATATTGCCATTTCATCATTATAACTATCTGGGAAGTGAAGAGATGGGAACGAAACGAAAAAAGATAAATGGCTTAGTTGCTGCTTCTGCTGAAAATCTGCAAATGGGCAGGCCAAAATTTCGCGAATTTCCATTTGAACCATCAAGACAAGACCCGAACAATTATTTCGAGTTTTTCCCATTAGATATTTTCAACGGTTTCTTTGTTAGTAGGGATAGAAGAAAAACATCGATGTAATACGTTCGATGTTCCATATTTTTACCATCRATGTTGTAAATTTGGGACATCGATAAAACATCGATGTTAGATCTTGAAATAAAAACATCTAYCATTTGATGTTGATACCAGATAGAAACATTTTCTGCCAACTCTTTGATAGTGCCGATACAAACGATACCGCGGCATAGCGGCCCATATCCAGCTGCACCCGAAAAAAGCCTCTTTTTGTAACCAGTTGACCCAAAAATGTGGCAACTATAAGTTGAATACATTTAGTCGATTATTTAACGTCATAGTAGTAGCAAAATACAATTACTAAAGTTTAAGTTATTTAAGTTAATCAATTTGAAATTTGTGTGCAACGGCAAACTATTAGAACATCGATGTTCTGTCTTCTATGTTCCCCTAACATCGATATTACCTTTCGATGGCTACCATCGATGTTATAGGATCGATGTCCCATCCCCATTTGTTAGAGTTGTAAAGTTTGTCGTATATCTTTTGATGCTTTTGCATTTAAAAAAATTACGAATTTCGGAATACGGCAAAGCCTTAGTTCAAGCTTCAATTTGTTAGTTGGAAAATATCGTTAAACAAATGATCTTTTAAAATGATGCCCACGGTGATAGCGATCATTCCAACCGTTTTCAATCTGAATCACATTTTGGGGTGAGCCGTGAACTACGTTGACCAACGCACAGAAAAAATCAATTAACATTACAAAGTTAGTACTTGCAGACAACACACGGGGTTATTTCAATACTTTTAGACTAGAATAAAAATCAACTTACCAAAAAATCAAATACGCTAAGACCTAGCATTTCAAAGGCGATGCACATGTGCCCATGGTAGTCGAACCAGTCTAGCATTTTCACACATAAACTGAAAAAAAAATCAGTTACATTGGACCAGTTCACAGCACTATTCTTCATCGTCGAAAGAACTTTAACTTACTGCACGCCATCGGGGTCTTTGTCCGCCAGCTTTTCCAGCACATTGATTTCCAGCTTGGCCGCCTCTCTGTATTTCTCCACATTTTTTATGATTTTCAATGCCATGGAGTGCTCCCTGATGAAACCAAAATATCACAATTTATTCTTAGGTAACTCTCTTGGCTCTAACCAGTTCAGCTGGCCCAAAAATATGAGCCAACTGTATAATTTTAAGGCCATACTTACATTTCAAAGTCATTCACTTTGACTACCTTGCCAAAAGTTCCTTCACCGAGGGTGCCAAGTATTCTATCTGCAATACAACACCGAAAATCGTTAATATTTGCTAACGCTTTGTTAGGTAACAATGTTTGCTACAACGGATATGACTGCAATAAATATAGATAGGAATATAATTTAAATAAACCAAAGCTAACTCCTCACTATCGTGTTTATGCGAAGTAAACTTTCGAGCTTGAATTGAAAAAATAGTTTGTTGCGAACCCCAAACATTGTCACCCAACAGGAAAGCCCCATGCATAAATTCTGCCTAAGCTGAAATCGTTTCCTGTTATTCCATTTTGACTGCTTAATATGGGCAAAAAACCGTCTGTAAATGGTTGTTCAACGCTTTACAGGCTGTTTCAAGCAAATTTTGGTCAAAAAATGTAACAAACTACATTACGATTCTCTTTTGGAAGCCTCAACGTTTTAGAACCTCGATTTGCTCTCCCCTTAATTATTTCATATTCTAAACTCTAACACTCAGAAAATTCGATACTGCATCAATATCAAAATTGGCCGTTAAAAACTTCAAAGAAAATAATTCATGACCGACCTGGAGATCAAAATGGTTTTTTAATCGTTTTTAACAGTCAACCTCAATCAAGTACAACCAAAAATTATCGAATTTTAAGTGTTAAATGTGTATTATATCAAGCGGTATTCACACACATCGATTTTGCAGGATGTCTCCTGTTCGGTAAATAAGGTGGCCTTCTTCATCGTCTTCCACTGAAGGCGCCTTTGTGCTCTGTTTATCGCATCATCAAGCAGCATCATCATCATCATCATCATCATCATTGTCATCAGCGGTGTCAGTCACAGAGAACGTTGTGGAGTGGTCAGGAAGATCATCATCATCATCATCATCATCATCATCATCATCGTCATCAGCATCATCATGGGATCAAGATCAATTCAGTAGGGGAAGGCGGAGGTAGTGGCGGTACGGCCCAGATGACAATTGGTAATCATAGTCATGGTCATCAGCGCATATGGCAACAGCGAACGCAAGGTCGATTGTGGCCCGACAAGCAAAGATAAAGAGGCAAACGGATTGCCAAATCAGCAATCAACGATCTTTTGAAAATTCCACACATAACATTGCAAAAAATTACAATACAGGCATATCAGGCACCAGAAACACTGTTAGAGCTTTGGAGCTAAGTGAGCTATTTGAAACAAACATCTACATTTCAGCTTGCCAGTGAACTACATATTATTGGCAATGAAAAACCCCCATCCGCATTCACAGAGATTCTGTGTTTAGCTAAGTTCAGTGAAACGATCACTGCAGGCGGTTTTCCTCTTTTAAAATGAATGAGCTATTTCGGTTTTACGTTTTAGAATAGACTATTATATACAGACCTAATTTTAAAAGCGAGGTGAATTATAAAGCGTCGTTTCAATGATTCACTGCATTTTAAGAGTAAATCGAGCTCATTAGGAAAATAGCCTGTGACATGACAAAATGTTCGCCAAATAGGAGACAAGTACTACCCACATGATTCAAAACGTAGAGTAGGTACCTTTTATTTGGGTATTTTGCCTCATAATGTCGGGACTTTGAAGACAGAATTTCGCCCCGTTCTTTCTTAGATTAAGAGCGAATTCCCCAACAAACCGTAGTTGTAGTGGTAATTTAAGTGTTTCATATTCTGTATTTCGTTTTGTTACGGAATTCGCATTTGATGTAAAAAATTTATCTATCTATTATGTCCTTTTTAGGGTCAAAAATTTACGTCGTTCTGTAAATTCCAAGAAATTTTATGAAACCAAATGTTCTTATTTTTACCTCTTAACTGCATCTCGATTTAAAAGTTATGGAAGCGTCGCCTTTAATCTTCAAGCCCCTGAGTGTTCAATCAGCATGTTAAATGCCTTACATTACATGCGAAATTCTCCACCGGTATTAAATAAAATCTGGAATTTGCAGACGAGATTGCAACTCTGGGACTGAAAATACCCAATAGTGAGAAGAAATTAAATTAGAATACTGACGACATTCAGCTAATTATCGAAGCATTTAACAAACGGTTGTAGTATGTAGTTAGAATGAAATAATTCAATTTCTGATATCAATACATTGTTCGAAAAACTTGACTAAGGCGACTGGCTCAAAAAATTCCTGGCAATATTCGAATTGTCGTTTATTAATAGATTTTTACGTAGTAAATAAGCGACGAAAGTTTTGTGTGTGTGGTTTATAGTTAAGAACCAATTTGTTCTGTCGATTCTTTATCTTTTACAGCGTGTTCGCCTAAGAATGAGATATTTTCGATAAAAACTATTTTCGTTGATAGTTTGCAGGTAATTTTTACAAAGTGTTTAATAAGACGACAATAGTAATGATTAATAAATATTAATACAATAGCCTCGAAACCGGTTCTTGAGTAATCAGTGTAAAAAACTATTTGCAAACGACAATTTTGAGCTATTCCCACGATACATAACACATACAAGACAAAAAACAAAATTAATTCTAGTGAGAACTTTCCTAGTTGGGCTCTTAATAAAACACTTTTCTAATTACGCGCGAATAAATGGCTGAATTTCGGCAATAAATTTGCGACATTTTAAATTTAATTGCATGTCGTTGAATTGAAACGTTACTGCAACCGGTTACAACGTGCTAAATATGTTTTATGCATCGAATATATTCGATCTATTGCCTTAAAAAAGCAAAATAACTTATGAAATCTTAATTTGGGGCGATAAAAATAATTTTGCTGTGCAGCATCCCGATGAATGGAACAATTGTGCACCTATGAATATCTAAGCTATCACTACTACGATCCCAAAAATCAAGAGATTCTAATAGCATAATTAGAAACAAAAACATAACAATTCCTACATACTTTGAATGTCAGTAATAAGGACAGTTATGCAATGTCAAGCCATTAATGTTTTTAACAATCTGACAAATTAAATAAAAATTTTAGAAACTGATAGTGTCTCAAAAAAAAACTAAAGAACTGAATGAAAATTATTGTTAAATCATGAATTTAGATGTAACTCTGAGTGTTATATGAAATTTTATTTATGTTTATCAGATTGTTATTTTCCTATCTTGCGGTATGACATTTATATTTTTATTGTTAAGAAATTGTACAGGGTGTCGCGTAAGCACATTATCAAACGGCTACTGTGATATTCTTTGCATCTAAAGAAGACGATCTGAGCTAACTTGTTTTAACAAAAAATGTCTGGCTCCTCTTTTTCTTCAAACAAGTTCTTCAAACAATCGAGTTCAGCCGTTTTGGACAAGTGGTGAATTCTACGAGAACTTTTTATTTGGTGGATGAAGTCAACTCATTTTTTTTTTGTTGATGCACTAATCATTTATTCACAATTTTGTGGTCTTTGTAAAATCTTGTAGCATTCATAGTTTTTGCGAAAAGAAATATTTCTGTTTTTTTCAAAAACTATGAATCCTACAAGATGTTACAAAGAGAACAAAATAGTGAATAAATGATTAGCACATCAACCAAAAAAAAATTAGTTGGTTTCATTCACCAAATAAAAAGTCCTGGTAATTTTTGTACCACGACACTCAACAATTCGCCACGTGTCCAAAACGGGTAAACTCGATTGTTTCAGTAAAATACGAGACTTACATAAGAACAAATTCACAGCGAGTTTTATCAAAATACATCGTAGCATTCTCCCGATATTTCAAAAAAGGGAATTTTTTTGAAGAACTTTGACCATCAATAGCAGAGGAACCAGATATTTTTTGTTAATAAAGGTTAGGTCAGATCGCCTCCTTTTGATGCAAAGAATATCGCAGTGTCGTTTTGATCATATGCTTACGGGACACTGTAATCCGTTCACACGGATAGTATATTTTTGATATATACCTAGTCGTGCCAACAGATATATGTGTACCTCACCGGGTTTACTGATGAAATGTAGTTACTATGTATATTTTACTGCATAAAATACATGCTTATCAGTTTCTAAAAAAAGTTATAACAACCACTTTTCAAATTATCTAACTAAATTTCTAAAACTTTTAGGTTATCTCGAAGAACTCTATCTATCAGCACGTGGAAAATTTTCGCATGGCATACACCACGGTTACCACTTACCGGTAGTGATTGACAAATCGCAAGAAAACACTCAATGGATGTACCGTCCATCATTATAATCGAAAACTCATGAAACACTGATACAACTAAAAAATGCGCCATCTTAACTCTACGATGTCGTATTGACAACAGAAACCATAGATAAAGACTGAAAATCACAGATACATAGAGCCTGTTAAAGGCCTCTATGATGACGTCACCATGACAGTTCATAACGGTAGCGACCCTTTCGGTACCACCGAAAGTCGGTTCACAAAATATCCCCCACAATATAAAGGTTAAATAGGGGGTATGTTCTGAGACGGTTTGGCGTCACGAGGACCATTTCTGTGAATAGACCGACTCGTCAGAGGAGTGACGTCATAGCAGTCGGGCCTTTCGGTGGTACCGTTCCATACCCGTAAATCGGGGTGTGACAGGAGATACAATATCTCCGAAACTATTTACTACGGCTCCAGAAAATATATTGAAACCGCTCGATTGGGAAAATTCTGGGATCAAAATCAACCGTAAACACTTGAGTAATCCACGCATTGCATGTCACATCGTACTCCTCGCAGACGAAATGGAAGACCTCCAAACCATGCTTTCAGACCAAAACTATGCGGCAAAAAACACGGTCTCCAGATCAATGCGAGTAAAATAAGAATAGCCATTTTTTTGCGCTACACTTTGACAAACAAATCGGAACCAAATCTGGACGTTTTGGAGGCCAGCGCAAAGACACTGTCCAGCCAAGAGATTGCTGGCTTTCGAGTTTGATAAAAAAAAACGCCCCGCGGTGCCCAGTGAATTTTTCAAACCCACAATAGCTACGCTATGTCAATTTTGCACAATCCAGAAAAATAAATACCTGTGAAACGACCTTCAAGAATCTATAACCTGCACATAGATGATGCCAAGCATAACAACATGTTCCAAATCTATAGCATAACATTTAATTTTAGCATTAAAACGCTTGTCAGATTAAAACCTTGTTCGCAGCTTAAATCAAGTCCAACCCTTCATTAGGATTAGGAAAAAACCAGAATTGCTTACAGTGATTGTTTGACATTTCCAGTTATTCGACTCGAAAAAAACCTTCTTCTAAATCCAATTTATTAAAGGCGAGTTCAATAGACGTTTAATTGCAATCGCCTCACGCAAAACCCAGTATTTCCTTGATATTAAAGCGTAAATGCTCTGATCAAATCAAATTTAATCACTCGAGAATGGCGAACGTTTAAACCATGAAATCATGGGCAAGACTAATACGAGTACATATATATTTAATTATGTCTGGAAGCAAGCGGGTAAATGCGATTAGATTTTGCCTCCAAAGGAGTAATAAACTAAGAAGATTTTGAGAAAATCAAAGTAAAAATTTACTTCACTGGCAAGCTGATATTTAGGTAACCTGGTACAATATCGAAAAAGTCAAATTTCTTGCGTATTTCTGGCTGTAATATACAAAATTGGTCCATACAGATGTGAAACATCAGCTTCCAAAGACATTGTCTTGGGCTGATGTTTCACATTCTGCTAAGTAATCCAATAGAAAACATTCTTAATATCAAGTCGTTGGAAGTACTATTAAGTAAATTGAAAGTAAGAAACTTGATACTAATAGGGCACTTTAAGTAAAAGCGTCAAACCATGCGGATAAGTAACATGACTGATG